GCTCCGTCTCTGCCGCTTGCCAGCTACGCCTCGGCCGGCGCAGGGGGCGGAACCACGCATGCGCGGTGCTCCCGGGCAGGGAAAGTCCTCGACTTACGACCGGTTGGGTAGTCCTCGACTTACGACCGGTTTAGTCCTCGACTTACGACCGGTTTAGTCCTCGACTTACGACCGGTTGGGGTCGCGGCATTAAAAAGGTGGAGAACCACTGCTCTATCTATTTATATTGTTATAGGCTCATTAAAACCTTTCCAAAACAAATTTTCATTGAATATATCACTCTATATAAATTTCATTACTGATTCTCTGTTCTTGACTCCTAGGCACACGGTGGCCACAGCGAAGCTGGAAGAGAAGCTGTCGGGGGCCCACAAGAAACTGGGGGAGCTGCGGGCTTTGGAGGCGAGCCTCCAGCAGGAGCAGAAGAAAGCCGACACGCACAAAAAGATGACCGAGTTCTAGGTTTTTGCCCCTCGGGTGCCTGTGAAAAAAGGGATATTTCAGTTCAAGATGGCTGCAGAGGAGCGGCTACATGGAAAACTACTAGCTCTTTTCTTCTTGGATCTCCTTCGCTCCCGTTGGACAAAGAGGCTGGATTTGAACTGGTGGCCCCGGAAGGTGGACCGCTTCGCTTCTCCTCTTCAGAGAAAAACTCCCCAAATATCCACAACAGATTCAGATCTGATGTGGTTGGGGGAAGGTTTTCCGCTGTGACGGGAGTGAGCAATAGTGGCAGTGTTAAGCGCCGTGGACTTCAACTCCCAGAATTCCTGAGCCAGCCCTGGTTAAAAGTTGCCCATCCCTTTGCTGGGTTGTGCCCGTTTTTTGGGGTGGGGGGGGTTCCTTGACTTCTCCGGGACTTCTTGGTGGCCTCTTTTTCTCCCCTCTTAGCATGGAGAACAGAGAGAAATAAAGTGAGGAAAAACGTTCGGGCTTTTTGTACTGACGTTAATCTACGTGGCCAGCAGGAGGCGCAACAATATGCCTCTTTTCCGTGGTTTGATCATTTGTTGATTATTTACAAACAACTCAAGGTGGCGAACATATCCAAATATATCTTTCTCCTCCTAGTTTTCCCCACAACAGCAATCCTGTGAGATGAGTTGAGCTGAGAGAGAGAGAGAGAGAGAGAGAGAGAGGGACCGGCCCAAAGTCATGGAGCCGACTTTCATGCCTAAGGTGAGACTAGAACTCACCGTCTCCCGGTGATTGGCCTAAAATCATCCAGCCGGTTTCGTGCCTAAGGCAGGACTAGAACTCGCCGTCTCCCAGGGATTGGCCTAAAATCACCCAGCCAGCTTTCGTGCCAAAGGTGGGACTAGAACTCACCGTCTCCCAGTGATTGGCCCAAAATCACCAAGTCGGTTTTCATCTCTAAGGCGGGACTACTAGAACTTACCGTCTCCCAGTGATTGGCCTAAAATCACCCAGCCGGCTTTCGTGCCTAAGGCGGAACTAGAACTCACTGTCTCCCACGGATTGCCCCAAAGTAACCCAGCCAACTTTCATGCCTAAGGCGGGACTAGAACTCACCGTCTCCCGGTGATTGGCCCAAAATCACCCAGCTGGCTTTCATATCTAAGGCGGGACTACAACTCACTGTCTCCCAGTGATTGGGCCAAAATCACCTGGCCAACATTCATCTCTAAGGCGGGACTACTAGAACTCACTGTCTCCCAGTGATTGGCCCAAAATCACCTGGCCGGCTTTCATCTGTAAGGTGGGACTAGAACTCACTGTCTCCCAGTGATTGGCCTAAAATCACCCAGTCGGTTTTCATCTCTAAGGCGGGACTACTAGAACTCACCGTCTCCCTCGGATTGGCCCAAAGTAACCCAGCCGACACTCATGCCTAAGGCGGGACTAGAACTCATTGTCTCCTGGTGATTGGCCCAAAATCACCCAGCTGGCTTTCATGGATAAGGCGGGACTCGAACCCGCCACCTCACCTGTTGTCTAGCCTGGCGCCTTAACCCCTTGACCAAACTGGCTCTACCAGTTCTTTCTGGTCCCTTGAAAACTGTTCATTCCAGCTACAGGTAGTCCTCAAAAGTACGACCGTAATAGAACCTGCCCATTACGGTCATTAGTCATGACAGTCGTAAAGTGGGTCGTTAAGGTGAATCTGGCTTCCCCATTGACTTTGCCTGTCAGAAAGCTGCAAAAGGGGATCACGTGACCCCAGGATACGGCGACCGTCATACATACGAACCGGATGCCAAACGTCTGAATTTTGATCACATGATGCTGCAGTGGTAGTAAGTGTGAGAAACGGACAGAAGTCCATTTTTTTTTCCGTGCCGTCGTAACTTCAAACGGTCGCTAAACGAACTGTTGTAAGCCGAGGACTCCCTATATTCTGTTACTGCAAACGAGGCAGCTGCTAGATCTCAGCAAGGGCATCGGCAGCAGCCAGAGAGCAGCGATGGAGTCGCGCACCGCAGCAACTCTTGTTATCGCGGTGCGCGTTTCCTGGGCACGTTTCCTTTTCGAGCATCATCTCGAGCGGAAAAAAAAAAAATTAGCTCGCTGCGGTTTCCCCCTCTGCCCCCTTTTATCTCGGCAAGCAGTTTGTGCAATTCAAACTCCCATCGCAACTGCTAAAAAGACCCTCTTGGCCTCTTGTTTGTTGTTGTTGTTGTTTTGAGATGGAAAAAAAACCCCACAATTTTCTTCGCTGTTCTCATTCCCCAATTGGGAAGATTCTCATTTTGAATATAATGCACCGGTGAACTTTTCCACTTTCTTCCCTTTTTTTCCCCTTTCTTTTAATATACATTGGCAACATGGAAAGAACAAAGCCCGTCAACAGTCAGATGCCGATGAAAATGGTTGGGAACACGGGTCGGTCCTCAGTTTAATAATAATAATAATAATAACAACAACAAAACAACAACAACAAAACAACAACAACAACAACAACAACAACAATAATAATAATAATAATAATAATAATAATAATAATAATAATAATGTTGGAAGGGACCTTGGAGGTCATCAAGTCCAACCCCCTGCTCAGGGAGGTAACCCTATACCATTTCGGACAAATGGCTGTCTAGTCTCTTCTTAAAAACTTCCAGTGTTGGAGCATTCACCGCTTCTGGAGGCAGGTTGTTCCACTGGTTAATTGTTCTCACTGTCAAGAAGTTTCTCCTTAGTTCTAGGTTGCTTCTCTCCTTGATTAGTTTCCATCCGTTGCTTCTTGTCCTGCCTTCTGGTGCTTTGGAGAATAGCTTGACTCCCTCTTCTTTGGAGCAGCCCCTGAGATACTGGAAGACTGCTATCCTGTCCCCCCTCGTCCTTCTCTTCATTAAACTAGACATACCCAATTCCAGCAGCCTTTCCTTATATGTTTTAGCCTCCAGTCCCCTAATCATCTTTGTTGCTCTTCTCTGCACTCTTTCTAGAGTCTCAACATCTTTTTTACATCGTGGTGACCAAAACTGGATGCAGTATTCCAAGTGTGGCCTTACCAAGGCATTGTAAAGTGGTATTAACACTTCACGTGATCTTGATTCTATCCCCCTGTTAATGCAGCCTAGCACTGTGTTGGCCTTTTTGGCAAATGCAGCGCACGGCTGGTTCATATTTAGGTGATTGTCCACTAGGACTCCGAGATCCCTCTCACAGTTGCTACTATTGAGCAAGGTACGCCCTATACTATACTTGTACATTTGGTTTTTCTTGCCTAACTGTAGAACCTTATTTTTTTAAAAGTTTAAAAACAGTTCATTTAGTGACCACTGAGAAAAGTGTCTCGTGACCGTTTTTCACCCTTAAGACCGTTGCAGCCTCCCCGAGGGTCCCGTGATCAACATTCGGATACTCGGCAACAGAGTCATATTTACGATGGTTGTGGTGTCCTCCGGGGTCACCTCATCCCCTTTTGCGACCTTCAGACAAGCAAAGTTAATGGGGAAGCCGGATTCACTTAGCAACGGTGTGACTAAATTAACAACTGCAGTGATTCACTTAACAACCGTGACAAGAAAGGTCGTAAAATGGAGCAAAATTCGCTTTAAAATGTCTCGGCAACAGAAATTTTGGGCTGGATTGTAGTTGTAAGTTGAGGACTACCTGTATTATAAAGTCCTCTGACTCCCGATGATTCTGGTGGGCAAAATACAAATAGTCCTTGACTTAAAATAGTTAAAAAGTTAAAATAGTTAAAATGATGTTGAGACTCTGGAAAGAGTGCAGAGAAGAGCAACAAAAATGATCAGGGGACTGGAGGTTAAAACATAGAAGGAAAAGTTGCTGGAATTGGGAATGTCTAGTTTAATGAAGAGAAGGACGAGGGGGGACATGATAGCAGTCTTCTGATATCTCAAGGGCTGCCCAAAGAAGAGGGCTGCCCAAAGAAGAGGGAGTCAAGCTATTTTCCAAAGCGCCTGAAGGCAGGACAAGAAGCAACGGATGGAAACTAATCAAGGAGAGAAGCAACCTAGAAGTAAAGAGAAACTTCCTGACAGTGAGAACAATTAACCTGCCTCCAGAAGTGGTGAATGCTCCAACACTGGAAGTTTTTAAGAAGAGACTGGACAGCCATTTGTCTCAAATGGTATAGGGTTTCCTGTCTGAGCAGGGGGGTGGACTAGATGACCTCCAAGGTACTGCTGAAAGGACTGTGTTGTAGTTCAACACTTTCCACAGTTCCAAGAAGGCTCCACACCCATTTGCACCACTCAGGTGACTTTGAGGATACAGGTAAACCTCCAAGTGGCCTCAACGACTCCCTAAAAGGATGCAAATGACCAGCTGTCTGCAAGGAGTATAAATCCTTCCATTCCCCCAACATCCAGTCAGAGCTGAGGAAGCTTCTGGGATGGAGAAGCGAAACGTCTTCGAAGGAAAAACAAGAAAGTCCAGTTGCCTCGTGGAAAAAGCTCCTTTGGGACAACCCTGACCTGGATGACTTGAGAATCTCCACAGACGTTCTCCAAGGTATATATGAATTACTCCCCACCTACCGGCCAGATCTGTGTGTTTTTCAGTTTTTGGCTTCCAACGGCCGCTTTGCAATTGCGTAGCGTAGGCAGGAAACCAACCCTTATCTTTGACTGCGCCGCTGTTTCGGCTGGTGCTCTTCACACCTTCTCAGGAAAACGGCAGTGCGAGAGAGAGCTGCGGGCGCCTCCGAGCAGCTGCAAACAGAAGCTGGGGTTCTGGTTTGAAGGACGCCCAGAAGAAGGTCCACCTGGGAGAAAATCTATGAGAAACAGCCATCCCCCAGTAGGACCAATCACAAGCATGACTTTGGCTTCCAACTACTCCTGAACGGGTGAAGTAAGTTGGCTCTTTGAGCACTACAAGATGGCTGCGGGTCTTCTTCACTTCTGGGAAGTCCCGTTGGTCCATTTCTAGGTTGGGTTTATGATCTTGGGAGTCCTGATGCACAATCCCTTAAATGTGAGCCAGCCGTGTGCTGCAGCTGCCAAAAAAGCCAACACAGTGCTGGGCTGCATTAACAGAGGGATAGAATCAAGATCACGTGAAGTGTTAATACCACTTTACAAGGACTTGGTAAGGCCACACTTGGAATTCCGCATCCAGTTTTGGTCACCACGATGTAAAAAAGATGTTGAGACTCTAGAAATAGCACAGAGAAGAGCAACAAAGATGATTATAGAGGACTGGAGGCTAAAACATATGAAGAATGGCTGCAGGAATTGGGTAGGTCTAGTTCTAGTTTAATGAAGAGAAGGACGAGGGGGGATATGATAGCAGCCTTCCAATATCTCAGGGGCTGCCCCAAAGAAGAGGGAGTCAAGCTATTCTCCAAAGCGCCTGAAGGCAGGACAAGAAGCAACGGATGGAAACTAATCAAGGAG